AGGGATAGACTGTAACTGACTGTTACATATCTGCCTGCACCCTGCAGAGAAGCAGCCTACTGTCATGCTCTCACAGCCACTGGAAACAAGTGAATGCAGGCAAATCTTTGCTGGGACTAATTAAAGCTGAAATATATTCCTGAAGATGACAAATTATTAATGAAACACTGCAAGCTTTCGCTATGCTCTTAAGAGTTAAAAACCCTCCTGTCGTATACTAACCAACAAAGTCAAACAGATTACAACATCGCTCGGATAACTTCCTTTCATACACGTAACAAAGACACACTTGTTCCACTAGAGATGTTAAAAAGTTCCAATACATCAACAAGTCTTGCATCATTTTGCCCCAATAAAAGAAGAACGTTGGTTTAACAGGCAATTTCATGCAATATCTCAGCCATATCCTGTCTCAAACAGATGCACAGTTTGAACAAAATTCCTCACAAACAGAACACAAAGAAGCATTGTTTTATACATGATTTTATTCCACACGAGCAAACAGGAGACGTACAACAAGATGAGATTTAAAACATCACCGAGCAGACACCTGCACAGGTAATATGCTACCTGTCACCTGAACCAAATCCTTCCTTACACAATCCCACCATCCCCGTCCCAAACAAAATGCTCTCCGTTTCAAAACTATATAGGTTTCATTCTGCACTGACAATTTCAATACTGCCAGCACATTCCATACCTCCTAAAGGGTGTAATTATACCTGCTGATAAACTACCTTCAACTCCTGGGGAAAGGCTGTTCACAGCGTGATACCTGTATTGCTGCAATAGGTAACTCAGCAACTAGTAGCAACATTTTATGTACATACTTATCAGACTGAAACTAATTTTCATGGATATCTACAGTTAATTGTATATTCTGGATACAAAGTGAGTCATGCCATGTTTGTTTGTTGTTTCCATATTTTGCGGTCACGACTTGACCTTAACTGATGTTGCAGTACATCGCCATGTTTTAATCATCACTGAAAACGAAAGGCCTATGATGTAACAGCTTGTTTCACATGACTGTATATTTGTAATAGCCCCTTCTGGTACAAAGGGTCTTAACTGTTTCATCTTAAAAGCTAGTGTAAGTTATTGATATACATATTCTCCAGGGCTCGTGAAGATGACTGACATTTATAAACTCACAAATATTAACAGATCTTCAAAGAAACATAAAAAGCAAAAAAACATTTGAAATACAATACTGAAAAGATATTCCAAACCTATTATCTTGTCTCATTCAAGATTTGACTTTCAGAACAATTGACTGTAACCCAAGCACATGAATCTGATTTCAGAAAACACTACCTGAAAGAAACAATGAGATATCATTAAATGTTCTTTAACACAAATAGATACTGAACACTTGAGAAAATAAAATTACTTTCTTTAATAACAGCTTAAAGCAAATCTTTGAAGGGCACTCAACTGTATGACCCAGGCACATTTTGTTGAAAGAATATCAAGAAACTCCACTGATTCTAACATCTTGCATAAAACATAATTTTTAAATAACTTTAAGGCCTTTTCAAGGCAGGTAAAAGTTTGCCTTTTTTATGTCCAGGTTGCAAATTCATGGCCTTTTCAAACCTTGAACTTCTTGCACTAAATGAGCATCTTAACAAAAAGTGTTTTGAGCATATATCACTATTTCCTGTTGTTTTCAAAATCATGTTATCAAAATTCACCACCTGCAAATATCCTTTAACATGTATATTGTAAGGAAAGACATGAACAGAGAGAATACGGAAACAAAACCATTCCTTTACTGTGACCACGATGAGGCCAACTGTTTACACACGAACATGGTACATTTGACCCTGTGTGATAACCCTATCAGGACTCTGCACTCCATCCTCCCATCAAGTGCTGTAACCGTGGGCGACAGGTCCTATGAGGCGTGAGTATGGAGCAGGTAGTTTGTGTCGGTTTCTGTGTAGCACCAGCTTGTCAAGCCACCATTACTCATTCTCCTGTCAACACCCACATGGAGAGATGCAGTGCAGATATCCCTGTGTAAAGGTGCAGCTGCATCCTCCGAGCTGCATGTGGATCTGCAGATGCTGTTCTCCTCACGTTACTGGCTTCTGCAAACTGTTAGCTGTTCAGAAACACTACTTGTCTTTATCAAACTGTTCACTATTGTGATATGACTGAACAAAAATCTGCTAACCGAAAACATTACTCATTTTGAAAACAACACTATTTGACAAACACGCTTGTCAATTGGCAAGTACCTGTAGGTCTAGTCAATTTATTGGCCTTTGTGGCAAGTAAAAAAACAGAAACGTCAGTCATTTAGTTTGTGAAACTATAACAGAATGAATGAACATACATAACCAGAATTCCATTTGGACATGAAGGTGACACATATGTGAAAATGTGAAAACATTTTTGGGCAGTTGGCATGAAATAATCAGAAGTACCAATATTTTTTGGTGACATGGGCGAAATTGGCTTTTTGAAATAAACACTATCGAAGGTCTGCTTTTTTGAGTAAATATTACTTTTGCATCTGCTTTTCTACTATCACTACTGATAATATTACTTTTAATTTACTTTGAATATCGCCAGTCAAATTCAAGAGGATATAATATCGTAACTGTCAAAATCTTCCAGTCATCAAAAAGATATTTTAACAACCTTGAGATGAATGAAAACTGCAAAGTAGGTAGAGGAAAACAATATTGACATACACATGATCAGGGCTGGCATGAATAACTTCTGAACCGTGAACAAGGACAGAAAGTCAACGTCTCTTGCATTTGGTACAACATCACTGCATATTCAAGCTTGACATGTTTATCTAACAAAGTCCCCCATTATTCTGCCATCTGAGTGCGAAAGTCACCTCACTGGTGTACACACACACTGAATCACACGGCTCCTGAATGTCAAGTCACGCCTTGATTTAGTACCATCTACAAAGCAGGAACAGGCCTTATTCAAATCTTTATTTCAAACACCGCAACCTTCACATGACAAGCATACAACCTTCAAATGACAAGCATACAACCTGAACATTAATGTGTGGTATGCTAAACAGCTGACCTACTTTCAAAGCAATGAAAAAAACAACTGTGACATGGAATCTAAACTGCCTTGTCACCATCTATAGCAACAGGTGTCAGAGTCAAGCAAACCTATCTGTGTGGATGTAGTTCGTCCGGAGCGTCCATGGTCAACGGAGTGTGACCGATGGCTGTTATAGCCTGGCTGATGACACCGTTTCCCACTAGCTGCACAGATGGCAAGCAGTCAAGCGTCCCGTCCTGGGACAGTCATACACACTGCAGTGGGACAAGTTCTGCAACTTTGTCAGACTTGACAGACTTGTAATATTCATATTCCCCTCACAGACATGTACATTTATTGAAACATACCTCCAATCAACAAAATAATTTTACATTTATGACCTTCATTACAAGGCATTTTTAAGACATAAAATTCCAAATTCCAGATTACTAAATACCATTTTGCAAAAACACATAAAATCTATCACATCCATGCTCAAAAGGAATTCAGAAAATGAAGACACACCCAAACTTGAAAGTCATTCAATGGACCTGTATAAGCCTCCCAATAAACACCCATAGTGCAAGATCAGCAAGAAATATGGCTAGGAATTTGACTGTCCCAAATGTTATTGTATAAGGAGTGGAAATACAGCATGTTTAGACATGTCAGGGTGATAAGACCCCTTCCCTCTCCCATCCCAACTAGGCGTATAACTATACACTCCACAACTCACAGTCCCGTATATAAGTATACGAGGTTTACTTAATCTTATCAGTTGCCTGATAACTGGGTACGTCCACAGCATCATAAATCACGTCTCGTTCAGCCTGTGTCACTGATGTAGGTCAAATCAATAGTCTCCCCTGCGGGATGGCGTGACATGTCTGTCTTCAGTCATTCTTTGACACTATATAGGATGATTTAAACATATATATCAAAGGGGCTTGCTTGGTACCTGCATTCTTTACGGAATGCCATACTGACAACAAAAATTACTATAATTTCGATGTTTGTAGACAAGACTTCAAAACTGTTGAGTCACCTCAAGACGATTTCAACCTTTCAACTTTAAAACACTAATATTCTGCAAGTGTTCAATATCTAACAAGCAGAAACAGTGTCACAGTTGCTAGAAATACTGTCTATTGAACAGTACCAGCTGATATGCATTGATAAAACTATATGAATAATAATTCTTGAAAACAGAAAATCATTTTTTCAATTTGACATCTTTTAATAGAGACATTTTTGTTGAGAGGCAGGATGATGACACATGATGACTGCTTGGTCCAAGTAACCTTGAATGTATAACAGTGAAATAGAAACTGAAACAGAATGGGCTGGCAGGCACTCTTTTGTAAGGACCAACAGGCATTTGAAGCTGCAAGCCCTGACTAAACCACATTTAAACAATTACTGCTCTTAGTGAGAAACAAATCAACATAAAAATATATTGCAGGTCATAAAAACCCATGCAAAATTGTAACTACATGCTTGATTCAAGCTCGACCTGCCAAGCGCAAGCTCTAATGTCAGCCCTGATTTTATTGAACCTGAAGGTAAAGGGAGACTATCTTGCAATTCAGTGATGCCAAAAGTTTTCTTTCCGAGGCTTAGTAATCTATGTTCAATCCTTATTTTGGACTTCCATAATACTGTTTGTTTTGTAATACTTAAAAAGCAACATTCAGATCATTTCATTCTTCTGAGAAAAGGAAAAACAACACATGCCATCTTGACAGTTACAACTTATTTGCTAGGCATTTAGAAGTTGGAGTACAAAGGAAAGATAAGAATATATGGATGAACAACTATATTACATTACGAGATCAAATTGTAGGTGACAGGGGTGGAAATAACCCATTGCCCGACGCCCGAGTCCAGTGTTTTTTCCTGTTGGGCAAGCATATTTGTATATCACACTGTACCTGTGTCCAGTTGACTTTCCAATATTAATTATGTTGTTTATTTAAAAAATCAACAAGAAAATCGGCCAGTATAGTGGAAAAATTATCAGGGCAAGTGATTTTACTTGTGCTACTGTACCGGAGTACACTAGCAATTTTAAAGTTATTTCCAGCCCTGGGTTATGAAGAAGTAGTTCATCAATAATCTTATACTTCCTTGGCACTAACAATGGCAGAATACAAACCATTCCTGCAAGTCCTATATTAGACTGAGAGAATGAATGTAACCTCAACATCTGCTTTTGGCAACAATCACAAAACCTTTTCAGTCTCCAGAAGGATGAACAAAGTCATTATTGAATTAAAACACAGTCCAAGCTGAGAATACACAGCTATTACATGCTGTCAATGATTAAAACCAAACACTCATTGTATATGCATCTAATTAAAATCTCCACACATATTACCCATTCACGGGAACACAGTGGTTCTTATTAAATTGTTCTTTTAACGACTTTGAGCAAACTGAACAGATGTTCTTATGTAGAAAGTACTTTTTCAACCATAAAAACTTAATAAGCTTCGATGAGCTGAAGTTTACAGACACTTAACAACAATGTACAGTACGCAACCAATTAACTATTTATTATCAAAATCATAAATAGGCGCAAACCATGGCAACGGCCAGTTCCTGATCTTTAAGCCCTGATGTGTCCCCTAAGTGTATTGCAGTCCCTGCTCGGTGATCACCCCACGTTCCTCTCTAGTAAACAACATATAGTTGAATAATGTAAACAAAATGTACAAAACCAGAATGAGTTCTCATGTCTTCCTGAATGTCTGGAATTCATAGACGGATTGTTATATTGAATGATGATGACACAAACTACACAACTGTTGCATGCTACAAACTCGAACGATTTCAGTCTGTTGTAATGAACTTGATGAAAATTGGCTGTGAAGGTGGTTTGAGTTCATTTCACTGGGTGATAAAAACAAATGACTTCATGCTCATGTGAATGTGTTTTGATGTTGTTTTTGACCGAAGAATGATTTTCCTGATGTCAGAAATGTATACCGATTCCTTAATTTGTGTTGTCACTTTGAAATTGACATTTGTCTACTGAAAAACCGATACCTAGTTTCAACAGCATATTTGTAACGTGGAAGAAGATTTATGTAATCTCAGAGACCCTCTGAATTTGAGAAATGTAACTGAATTCTTTTATACTTTCAAGGTAAAGTAACAAATCTTAGTATTACTGGGTGATTGAGTTAGTTGGGTTTTTGTTACTTTTTAACATTAGTTTATCTGAAAACCCTATCGGGGTTTGCACATCATACCCATCTTGGGAATTGAACCCAGGCCTTCAGCATGAGTGTACACTTTACCGCTATGCTACCCTACTGAATATGAAACTGACTGAACAAGAATTGTGCTTCAGTTTTCAAGTTTTCTAAGTATGTTAATCCCATGAAAATCCTGAAAGATTTCCCAAGACCAGCAGCTCTCTTGCAATGAAGATCCGAGTCTGCAGCATGCATACAGAATAAACAAGCAGATGACTGTTGAACTGGTGAATGAGCAGTGCGATTAGACCTCCTCTACCTCCTCCCCCGTCTCCAGTCGAGTCACTTGCTCCACACCGTTTCTCACAGGTTTCATCTCCGTGGCGACCAGAGGAGTGTCACTGTCGCCATGTGAGGTCACTGCCGCCTTGTCGGGCGAGCTTAACGAGTCTTCAGCACCATTATCCTCCGTTGTCTTGGAGTTTGTCATCGGAGGAGGAGGAGTCCAGGCCTCGGTAGGGTCCGTGTGGTCGGGACAGCTAGTGCTATCTGCTGAAGGAACACCAGAATTGACACCGTGGCTATTTGCTTGTGTAGTTCTTTCAGTGCTGGCCCATTTTGCCTCCCCCGAATCACAGCCCATCTCTTCCTCTTCATCCTCTTCCTCCACGGTGTCCTTTACACCTACACTGTCACTACAGTTGATCTGTGCAGAGTCTGTTTCCATGGCTTCGACCTCCTTGTGGGAACTTTCCGGACATGTGTGATTGGTCAGGTCTTTGCCTAATGATGGTGACTGAGACCGTGTCTCGGTAACATCTGTAGTCTCTTGTTTAACAGGGCTGGGATCATCGTCCCCAGGTTGGGTAGTCTCTGGTTTGGGACTGACTGGTATATGATTAAGTACCTGCTTACCCCCATCAGCAGCTAAAGGAGGCGGCTCCTTAAGCTGCTGTGTGCTGCTTATAGTCCTCAGCTGCTCATTCTCTGTCTGTAGTTTTGCTGCTAGCTCTTTAGTCTCCTTTAGTTGTGTCTGTAGTTCATATATCAAACTCTGCATGCCCTCCACATCTTCCTCCAGGTCTCCCACAAACTCATCCAGTTCTGCAAGACAAACGGACAATTATGTCTATAAAACCAACTTTCACAAACTCTTTGATATTACGCAGCAATTACGCAACTATATGATAGTTTGTATAAAATAAAGTCCAGTGATTGCCATAATGAGCATTGATCGCGCAATTGGGATACAATGACATGCAACAACCAAGTCAGTTTATCGCCTCTTATAACAAAACTTAGCTGATCAATTCTCACCTGGATCATCAAGATTTTTCGACAATGCTTAAATTACACATGCTATGATGAGTCAGCGTTCGAAATACCTGCCTGCCCAACCACCCGGGACGGTTTGTTTTCAACGCGGACTGCCAGATTCTCAAATTAACCTGCCCGACGGTCGGGTTAAAATTTAGACATGTATATGAAGATATTCATCATATTTCAGGATAATAAATCATTATCAATTCACTCACAAATCTGAAATAAACAGTTAATTCTTTCTGCATTGGCACAAGTTTTTCAAGTTTTAATTTAATAATACTAAGTAAATTAGTATTTTTTGTGGGCAGGTAAAGTTTTGGTGAATGCTGGCAAGTTTTCCATCTAAGCAGCCCTGTGGTCTGGCTGAAATTTTGGGGAGTTTCATACCCTGGATGAGTAAGCTAGATGTGTTATATATAACACTGATTTCAGAGCAAACAGTAATAGTGCTTCAAGGTGTTAATTCCCAGAGTCAAACCCATAATGCTGATAACCTGAGAATCATAACCAGACAACACCAGAATTTGAATTCATTATCACAGCAGGGGGACACCAGAAATGGGCTTCACACATTGTACCCATGTGAGGAAGACCCAGATCTTCAGCGTGACGAGCCGACGCTTGAACGCCAAGGCTACCCCACCAAACCTTTAAGATGCAGCCTCTTGAACTAACTGCCATGCATGCATCTTATCCGTCTGCCTAATACATTAGGACGAAATTAATTGTGTCCATGTTCCTATTTATTAGAGGCAGTGTAATATGAAAAATGTTGGTGTTTTTGGTGCTTGCCTAAAAATGTTTCATTGGGTTGCTTAACTTCATAGAGTGTTCTAAAGATTTTCAAACAATCTAAAACCTAAACAATAGAAACAACAACTTTAACAGAATTAGACCTGATTCCAGTCATAATCTCCACTTACCTTCTTGATTTTTCTTCATTTCTGTAACTAGAGTTTTCTGTAGTGCTATTTCCCCTTCTAACTTGGCTGTCCTTCCTGAAGCTATCATCTTCCCTAACTCCTCATTTTCCTGGAGCAACATGCGACACTTGGCCATAAGTCGCTTGCCTGTTTGACTGCAACAGCAACATATCAGGTTGTCATGGCCACAAGAAGACGCAAGACTCGGTTCACAACATCACAACTGTTTAAAACAACTTATAATTCCGACATTCGAGTCTTCTCCTTCTCTTGTTCATACAAACCTTGGAGATAGTCTTCACATTTGAAAGCCAAAGATTAACAACCAAATCCACTATCATATCTCAATGGCAGGTAATGTTTGAGGAATTATCTGTATGTCAGACAATGTCAGCAATGTGTAGTGTCTGTTAGTTTGAATCAGTTGAAACCTGTTTCACGGACAGAAAATCTGTAAATCTGAAATCTTTCATTGTGTTTAGACTGCATGCAAACTGGTGTGGCAAATATGACATTGAACGGGACAGTTGAGAAATTACGAGCCGCAAAGATATTTTTCTGCATGTGATTACATAGTCACAAGAATCACAGCCCTTCAACAAACTCATGTATAGGAAACTGGCATGTCTCCTGGCACACATGCCACTATGAAGAGTACTGGGTGTAAGGAAGAGCATGGGTATGGTACTTACAATCCAAGGATCACAATCTGGACAAATTATACCAAAGCCAAAGAGATCAGTGGATCCAGGCAGTCAAGGGATACAACTCTGCCCTGTAACTGGTACTCTGGCCAACCCACTGCCCTACTTTCTGACATCTATTGCAATCTTTGCACACTAGGACACTACTGATACTGAAACAGGCACTTGGCATTGCTCTATTTCAGCATTAAACTTATGTTTTCCTCAAAGATTACAATCAAATTTTGGGACCAATGTTTTTGGACAGAGAGAGAGTCAGAGCTAAACGCTGAAGTCAGCAATATTCCAGCTACACCACCGCTGTCTGTAAAGAATCTAGTCTCGACCAAGCAAACCAGAGACTGAAAGCACCTGAGTCTGTCTGTGAGTGAGTGAGTATGGTTTTACGCCGCTTTTAGCAATATTCCAGCACTATCACGGCAGGGGACACCAGAAATGGGCTTCACACACTGTACCCATGTGGGGATTCGAACCCGGGTCTTCGGCATGACGAGCTAACGCTTAGACCACTAGGCTACCCCACGGCCCCGAAAGCACCGGAAGTATCATTGAGAAGGTATAACCTCAGTAATTACAAGGATGTGACCTTTGCTTTCGGGAAGTGAATTCAACAATGCTTGATGTCTCACTTCCATTTATCATTGCTCAGTATGTACCGGGATTATTTGGGGACTACTATCGAAAGATAAATGAAAGGCCTAATATTGTTTTACTCTGTACTCATTAAAATTCCAGCAATATCAAAAAACATACTTAACAGTTATAAACAGACTAGCAAAATTAAGCATGGTCATCCAGTGGGTGACGTGTTAGTACTGATCCACACCATTACACACTGAGAATAGCCCTCACTTTCAAGGGTCTGACCATGAAGACTGGAGTGGATGTGGAGGAGAAAGAAGCTATTTGGGGGTATTTGGGTTTGTCAAAGAATAACCTGTCTTACAAAAATGTTAAAAATCAACCAAAACAACTGAACAAAGACATAAGCTCACCAAACTTTGTCCAGTGAGCAACAACACAACTTGGCAATGGGTTTACAAAAAGACTTGAGAAGCTACACTATATGCAAAATGGACAGTGACAAGTCAGCTTTAATATATATATCTCACAAATAGAGAAAATGGCATACCATATGCATGTATACTATTCAATTTTTGACAGGGATTTTCTTATCTCCACATGGGGGCTGCAGACAGCCAAAATTGCCTTGAGTAAATTTGAAAATTCAAAATTGTATTTAAATCAAAATGAACTTCTCACAGGGTAGTGAAACTGAACATCATGGTATCCCCCGCAAACATTGAATAGCACACTAACTTCGCTAAATAATGTAAAACTGTCAAATCAGCAGGTGACTATTTTTACTTCTTGTTACAGTAAAACAAGCATAACTTGTATACTGACATTAAATAAAAACCACCAAACCAATAATTTGGATAATATAGGAAATTCAAGGATTTAATCTTGGGAAAAGTTTTTCCAATGAAACACCAACAAATGACCGAAAATGCTACAATCCAGTTTGTCCACACTTGAAACTATTCTAAATAACTCTCCATAAAGTTATAGTCTCTACAGAGATTGAAATACTGTATGGGAAAACAATCTTTGTGATCAGCTGTTCCATCACAGGTTAAACACATTTTCCACTTCCATTCACATTGCAGATGGGTTTTGTCAAGTTGAAGTGTTTTCCTCTGGTCCTTTGGTTTTATTCTGTACAGCCTCTTCTTCCAGGAAGTATAGGTCTCCGCACCATATACATACACACACATCACTAAAATACCTTTACAGGGTAGAATCCGATACCTTAGAGCTGCAGGCAGGCATGATTAGTTTGTTTGTTGTTCAGTGCACTCAGCAATATTCCAGCTACATGGTGACAGTCTGTAAATAATCGAGTCTGAACCAGACAATCCTGTGATCAACAGCATAAGCATTGATCTATGCAGTTGGGATACAACATGTCAACCAAGTCAGCGAGCCTGACCACTCGATGCCGTTAGTCGCCTCTTATGACAAGCATAGGTTCCTGAAGACAAATTCTAACCTGGATCTTCACGGGTCGAGACAAGCATGATCACAATGAACATAACCTGAAATCTGGAGATGCAGTAAATATTCCAACATTGTATTCCAAAGAACATGAGCAAATGAACACTGTCTAATAACGTACACTTATTTTCTGGCCACTGTACATTATCCAGTCTGGGCTGTTCAGTCCAAATTCCACAAAAACGTCTAACACTAAGATGTTTGTCAAGATCTGGCCCCGATTTCTCAAAACAAACAAGTTTTTACTCTAATTTCAAACTGAGTTTGACAATTTGAAACAGCTGAATTTTTAGCTCAACTGAATTTTAAAAATTAAAAGCCCAAACAACTTAAGTAATCTATCCATCAAACTCAAATTGTCAACTATGTTCGAGTTCAATATCGATTTCAGTTTATTCTGGGAAATCCATTTTTCTGTGTTTTCTCAAATTTGAATAAAAACTCTAACTTAAGTCAAAACTCAGACTTGTTTGTTTCGAGAGATTGGGGCCAGAAGAAACTGTCTTAAGCTTGGTTTTTGGGGGCTTCTGAAAGGCTTCTTTTTGGCTTCTCAGGAAGTTTTTGACAGATTTTTACACATCACATTTTCTGCCTCTATTGTGTATCTTCAAGAGTCTTGTATTTATGATATGTTCAATCTGAAATGTTACTTTAATGTTGTCATTTGTGCAGTATTTTTGAAAGCAATCATGATGGTACTACAGTTAACAAAAACTTGAAGTACAATGCTAGCAAGAGCCCCGTTTCACAAGCTCTCATAAGCCTAAGATCTCGTAACTTTTCTTGTAGCATTCGTAGTCCCTATGTGACAGTATAGGAAATACAAAAGTTACGAGATCTTAGGCTTACGAGACCTATGTGAAATGGGGCCCAGGTTAGTATGTAAGTTGGCAGAATTACTGAAGGAGAATAAGGATTTGAACCCATGATTGTGGGTTTCTAGCATAGAGGACACAACTTTGCAACGAGACTAGGAGTTCCTCTCCTAATAAGATAGGAAGCTGCTTATGGACCTTCTGCTGTCTGTGGCATGGAAAGTTTGTTTGTATTTCCTTTCATAAAATAAGAAGGTACAAGTCGGAACTTGTATATAAATATCATGTCAATGATGTTGTACAGAAAACGTTCAATTTGAACCAAGTGTTTTTGCAACATATGAAGGAAAGTTATGTCACAACAAAGAGATGTGACATATTCAGTTCATTCAGATGAGACCACCACTCCACATCTTCCACCAGAGGTTGCATCAGTCCGCTAAGGGGATTCTGTATCAGTTGATCAGGAAGTAGGCAAGAATCTTATCAGTGTAGCATTCAGAGTAGAATGCTGCATACAGAAAAGAAGTTTTGTATGAAGAGTGAGTGACTTTAGTTTTACGCCACTTTAGTTTTACATTTCAGCAATATTCCAGCTATATGGCGGAGGTCTGTAAATAATCGAGTCTGGACCAGACAATCCAGTGATCAACAGCATCAGCATCGATCTACGCAATTGGGATATGATGACATGTGTCAACCAAGTCAGCGAGCCTGACCACCCTATCCTGTTAGTCGCCTCTTACGACAAGCATCGATCGCTGAATGACAATATTCTAACCTGGACCTGCATGGGTCAAACCAGCAGAGAAGTCAAACTATGGAATATGCACATACTTTACGAAAAAATATCACACAAATTCCAAATAAGACAATCCCCATGAAGGTTGAAACCTGCTACATTTTCAATGGAACCAAACAGCTAGTCAAAGACCGCACATACTCAATCTGTTGGGTTCTCCATAGAAAATGTGGTTGATTTTACTACATTGCACTTTTTAATAGGGATTCTGTCTCATTTGTAACTTGTGTTGCTATTTCTATTAATAAAGTGTGCAAATATTCCACAGATGGGTTGCTCTCTGCTGGTTTTGTTTGTCAGGCAAGATTTACACACTGAAGGAAGAAGTGTTGTGGCTTTAGTTCAGATGTTATTTGGGATCAAGGACAGAGAAGAATTTTCCTAAGAAACTGCATCTGACCATGGGCTGTGTTGACATTATGAAGAATGTAACAAGGTCAAATCATCTTCACTGCTCAACGTTGAGGGTTCAAAACATCTTTCAACAGGACTGATATGACCTCATGTGGGGTGGCTGGTGAGATGTAGACAGAGAATTATCAAATCACAGCTAATGATCTATTTGAATGAAACTAACCCGAATCAAGACAACTGTCTCGCAACAATCAAATCTGTCTCACCATTTCTACACATTGCTGTTTTCAAGTCACATTTTGTACATATCTGAAAGACAATGTAACTAAAATGAAAATCAAACAGTTGCAGTAATTACATACAAACTTCACATTTGTTTGTAACAATCTATAGCCTATCTACTAAACAGAAAAGCTAAACTTTGTTGGAACACAAAACATGACCCCATCTGGCTCTCTACTATTGACTAGCCAGGGTCAAAACATTTTACCACATTAAACTGTCTTACCAAGGTTACCCTATGGAAAACACACAGACACATCACAGACCCAACAGTGTGGGAACAGTGTCATTTCTCAAATTTGCCACAAACTGTCATCTTTTGTCATATTTGCCAAGAAGTTCCACATTTCCATGCAGTCAAACAAAGAAAGGTTTCATCCTCTGTGTTACAACACTCTCACTTAAAGTACTCCGTAAACACATATCAAATGTTAAGTTTCAGTGAGACATGGATTAACTGATGCATGTCCATATCATGGACCCAGCATGGTCTTTCTCAATCCATCACAGCGAATAAACAGTCTTCAAGTATAGACCAGGGCCATTCTTTCCCTTCTTACAATCCCATGGCCATGCCATGTACTTGATTTACAATTTCTTCCCTTTCTCATGGGAACATGGCTCAAAGGCAAAACCTTTCCTCAGCTACCCTTAAGTGTCTTCCAAATTCAAGTTGAGCTGAGTTTAGTTACGGTAAACAAATCAAATTACTTTACGCTGTCAATACTTCATGGGTTTGTGTACACTAGCTCCTCCCATCACTCTGACTGGCCACGTTTCTTATTTGGCATGACACAGCCTTAGAAATTGTTTACTTTTAAAGTATTTTAAGACCAATGGCTTTCAATAATAGCTCTTGAAAGCTTCTCAACAATGAGGACTACCATCATAATCACTTGTCCTCCACATAATTTAGTCGTATCGGACAAGCATGAACTTCGAAGTATGATCATGTGCCACTTGAGTGTTTGCTGTATGGTATCTCGTGTACACACTGCTTCAATGTTAGGCAATGGTGAGCACCAAGTTCAGGTGTAGCTGGACTTCTCACTTCATTATCTGATTAAATACCGAAAGTCACCACGACATTATAACATATGTTACATTTAGGATTACACTTTCTCAGTAAAGTAAATTCTAGTACTTTTATTGGGTTGAGTCCATCCGGGATTCGAACCCACACTCTCAGAGTCAGGCACCTTACCGCCAGCACACAAAGTCAGCCATCTCACCCACTACGGCTTCCATTCGAGTCCCGGGTGGGACTCACCCCAACAAGAGTACTAGAATCTAACTGACTGAGAAAGTGTAATCCCAATATAAGTAATAACACATTACTTTTGACCATTTTCTAAATGGCATTGTGTTGATCAACATGACACAGCATATCAGTGACTACATTCACTGGTGATTAGAGGACTGCAGTGTACACATACCTATCAAGACCTGACTAAGGATACCAAGGAGTGAGTGTGTGAGCTTAGCTTTACGCCACACTCAGCGATATTCCGGCTATATGGCGATGGTCTGTAAATAATCGAGTCTGGACAAGACAATCCAGTGATCAACATCATGATCATCTATCTACACAACTTGGATATGATGACGTGTCAAGACAGCGAGCCTGAGCACCTGTTTCCATTAGTCGCCTCTTATGCAAGCATGGGTTACTGAAGATCAATTCTAACCCAGATTTTCATGGGTTGGATACCTAGGGATACATCATAAAGATCTTTATTGCTTAATTTTTTAGATACTGCCATTTAGAAACAGTCAATGATGTTGTCTTAACTATCATGTAACTGTAAACGAAAGGAGACACTGTCCTGCAAATGACTTCAACACACTTCTGTGTTTGTAATTTTCATGATGCTTAGACCTATCAGCATGCTTGGTGAGGATTTGGCATATTAGAAAAATCCACAATATTATCATGATTAACATTACATCCTGAAACAGAAGCCAGACATGCAAATAAAAATAATGCTAAGAAAGAGCACCTTCTCACTCCTTCCTCTTCCAAGACCCCGAAGCCGAGTCATTCATACGACTGACCCAGCAAAAGTCTCTGCAATGTGCCCTATTCAGGGATACCTCCTGACTGACTGGCAATGCATCTGATGGCCATTGCTTAAATGTCAGTTACTAAACCAGTCCAGTCACATCTTAACCTGCAAAGTTGGAGTTTACTTACACCTAAAGCATCCAAAATGTTCCTATGAGTTTATTAGCCAAATAAGCAATGCTTGCAGTCCTTGCTGGTCACATGAACTACAAACAACAGATGGCGTAAGTCTTTGGACGTTTACGATATTACCGTACTGGCGCAGCGAGTTGGAGCACTGGAAATTCAAAAAGAAGGTGCAAAGTAAAATAGTCATTACAACAACCAAAGCGGAACCAAGGAGTGCTAACAGCCTAGTGGGATGTTGAACTGGTTGAGAGGCCTGACCACTTGTCCAATGTTGCGACTGACAAAGGATGGGCGTATTGACGGATGGGCGAGAGGCTTCACGTCGGAGCCAGGGCTGCTGCCCATTGTCCTCGCAACGACTGTCGATGACAGACTATAGGCGATGACAGCCTAACAACTGCCTGGAGCTATCAGCTGGTGTGAAATGTCAGTGTCTTACTGGTCAAGTCGGACCGGCTATCTTACCGGAAACATGTCTATAAAGGTTACGAGAGAGTTTGATATACACCTGTCTGGCGTGAACTTCCAAGCGCTGCTCAGTTCATTTTGTGTTTGCTTCAGTTTTTCTTTGGACTCATCGACTTCTTTTGCCATCCTCTGGAACACAAGATTCAGAGCTGGATCTAGAAGCATGGATCGAAGCTGGGCTGTACTCTGTGTCTGCGCTTGTTTCATCTCGGAGATCTGGTTCTGAAAGAGAGACATCATTTCAACAGATCTTGTGCCTCATAACAGAATGTTTCTAGAGTAAAATTTCACAAAAGAATTTGATTTATGATTTGGTTGGTTTGTTGTTAAAAACAGCACTGAGCAATATTCCAGCTATATGGCGGCAGTCTGTAAATAATCGAGTCTGGACCAGACAATCCAGTGATTTGACATCATGATCATCAATCTATGCAACTGGGATACGATGACGTGTCAACCAAGTCAGCAAGTCTGACCACCCAATCCCGTTAGTTGCCTCTTACGACAAGCATGGGTTGCTGAAAATCAATTTGATCTAAGAAAAATGTTTGCTTGATGTTTAATTCACCACGAAACAATATTCTGGCTGCCTTCACATTGCTCATTAAGAAAAGCATTTTTCATTATTCTATTGTAGCATTAACTCCCAGCCATAACATATGTTGAGGACAGCAGGGAAGCAAGCAGTCCTCACATGCAATTTGACGTTTGTTCTAACTGAATACCCATCAAGGAATGGGAATGATACTTTTTTTTCACATCCATTAACAGCAACTAATTGCTTAAGTTGTTTTCCTTGCAAAATATAGTGCCAAGGAGAGCCAACTAAGCTTTCTAAGGGTCATGATTAAAACAGCACAACTTGAGTCGTTATGTTGATATCTAATCTCATGATTACTTTTAAACACACACTAAGACTAATTAACATTACAGCACTTCTAAAGTGTCATGGCAAATAACATGATAGGGCCCCCATGGTCCAAGGGACATAACTCTTCTGAATACTTGGATCTGAATCCTGAACAGATCAGTGTTGTAAACAAGAATTACCAAACAGTCTTGTAGCTCCTGTTCCTTATTTGTTAGTCGAAGCACCAAAGTATTTTCTCTTCTTGCAGCTTCCATATTTTGCTGCTTTAATTTCTCTTCTGAGCTACGGCCATCATCGTCTTCACCTGAAATGGTGACATGCAAGTTTTCTGAAATCAACATTCAGGATGTTTGTTGTTTAAAGGCTCTGTCAGCAATATTCCAGCTATGTAACAGCAGTCTGTAAAGCATCAAATCTGGTCCAGACAATCCAGTGATTGACATAATGAGCATGTAACAACTCAGAACACATGATTTGAGAAGCTTTACAGTTTGAACTCATTCTCAAGTCGACAGTTTTACAGTCCAGAGCGGTTTTCACATTGATAAACTGAACTGTGTGTCATTTAACACAGCTCTCAGCAATATTCCATCTTAATGTTGAGAGCCTGCAAATAATCAAAGCTGGAAAAGGTTGGTTGGTAAGTTGTTTAACGCCGCACTCAGCAATATTTCAGCTACATGGCGGCGGTCCAGACGATTCAGTACTCAACAGCAAGAGCATCGATCTACGCAATTGGGATACAATGACCTGTGTCAACCAAGTCAGCGAGCCTGACCACCCAATCCTGTTAGTCACCTCTTACGACAAGCATGGGTTGCTGAAGACCAATTCTAACCCAGATCTGCACAGGTCAAGACAAACCAGTGATTGATATTATGGTTATGATTGATATTATTTTCTATTGCCATCAACCAAATCAGTGTCACCATACTAATTGTAGTTATACATTCTATACTCCAAGAAAACCCATCCTCTTTAAAAATCCCTTAATGCTGAGTACCATGCCAACTTGTGGCATGACACCGCCAGGAATCAAACAACTGACCCGTCGCTCTCCTGACCGACGCTGAAGTTTAATTGGAAGAATACTATCATCACAGACACCTACCTCCATTTGCTGACCGGGGCCGTGACTTCTCTAAGTATCGAACATAATACTCCTGTTCACGAAGTCTGAAAAATTGAAAATGTACAGTCAGTCTTAACAGTGGCATCTTATTAGAAATGTTTGTTAAGCTAAGATGCACTCTACAGGCATCTTATTAGAAATGTTTGTCAAGCTAAGATGCACTCTACAATACTGACTTTCCTTGAATAGTGCAATTATTCACATCAAAACAACTTTGCATCTGTGCCATTAAATTAATATAAGCCAGTTGATTAAAAAAGGAGTCCTAACTGGTAACTATAGTATTATCACAACATAGGATCTGTATTATGTGGCAGACATCCAGATATGACTGTTTCAATCTCAATTTCTACACAGCTTATTCTCTGCACTATTAGTATTTGTGGGTTTGGTTTTACATAAATATGCAGTTGATCTGCATTTCACAGTGAAAATGACATCCATAAGAGTCTATAGAAGTAACATTAAATACTCATGTTAATGTAACTTTATCATGCTGTCAAACAGTAGCACTGCCATGACCTTAATACGACTTCTTGTTTGAATTCAGGGTTTCCAGTGGTCACTGAGGTTTAGCCCTTACCATGATAATAGCATAAGAATCTAAATGTTTACCTGCATCTGACCTTCCAACTTCCTTACATTGGTGTTTAACACTTCACTCAGCAATATTCCAGCTATATGTTAGCATTTTGTAAATATTTGTTTCAGTCCTATCAACGACATCATGTCCATCAATTTATGCAAATGGGATGCGATCACGAGAATCAACCAAGTCAGCAAGCCATGCTACTTGCGACTGGACATGAACACTAAATTTCCATAGGTATTATTGAAGTGAAAAAGGGATGAGTATTTTTCAGCATCATGACACATGATAGTTAGCCAACCATGGATCAGTTTCAAGAGATAAATATATTGATCTCTTCATGGCAAACAGCACTTCAAAATACAACTTAATGCAACATTGAAGAAATAGTGCTCAACTCACTTATGAAACTGGGTTGAAACACTGTAACAAAATGGCTTCCATATCAGTGAGTGAATGAGTGAGCATGGCTTTAAGCCACTTATAGCAATATTTCAGCAATATCACAGCGAGGAACACCAGAAATGGACTTCAAACATTGTACCCATGTGGAGAATCAAACCTGGGTCTTCGGAGTGACATGTAAACACTTTAACCACTAGGCTACCCCAACACTCCAGGCTTCCATATGAATGAGTAGTGACTCTCAGGAGTTCATACAGGTAAGGGCACTGAACCATACCATTAACCAGTTAAGCTTGAATCCCTTTCCACGCACATATATGGCTTGCATCTATTCCCCTCAGTGTTTACCCAGTGCAGTATTCTTGCACATGGCAAAACCCTCAGTCTTCGACTTCAGCTACTAGTCCAAAGCCTTGAGTCTAGTAAAAATACTGATTGGTTTTCTCATCTAGAAGCAACCTACAAATGAATTCAAAATCTCCAGAAAATGATGCTCTCAGGCATTGTTTGTGCTAGCAGACTCAAAATGTTTTGGTACAGGCTGAACCCTTATTGCATGAAATTGTTTCTTTAGTTGAAGTCATAAGATTTAGTTAGTCTGGCTTTACAAGACATACTTGTCTATGAGGTCATCTTTGGGAAGAGAGCCAAGCTCCTCTGTATCAATGCGGATCTGAAATGGAATGACAGAAATTTATCATATGATCCAAGAAAATATTCGATAAAGGAAGTGACAATATTCAAATCAGGGTTTTACGAGGGCAGAAATAAGCATCAAGTACACCATACTTAATGAGAAGTACAAAGTTCCAGTTATAAATGTACTTATTGCATCTAACAGTAAACTGCACTACCTATAGACCCTCCCATTTGGTGTAATTGGGGTCGGCTTGACCCCTGCTTTTAAACAGGACAAGGCATAACCCTGCAAATGTATAAATAAAGTGGTAATTAGCCATCAACTACTTACTGATAGGCTATCTCAAACAAATGGAACAGTACATGAGAATTATCTATGAGACTGAGAACACTTGCTGCAGTAATAATGACTGAGTTTATGATAACACGACTATAATCAGGGATTGGGAAAGGCAGGGGCCAGGGCCATTTTGCACATTAGAATAAAAAATGGCCCATTAAAATTTTGAAGTTTACTACTTATACAAGGAAGTGGCCCATTCTAAATTCAGATAATGGCTAATAATCCGGAAAATGGCCCATTGTCAAAGTTCTCGATCCCAATCCCTGCTAAACAAAACATTCCAATCAGGAATCTGATTCACAAAGCCAGCTCTGTTCTGTCACTGAAATAACTTTGCACAAAACACCCATATCTGACATACAAAAGTTTGCTAACATGCTTAGTGAGACTGGGTTGGAGCATGTCTTTGGCAGGGCTTTTTGACAAAGGTGCATGTAATAAATTAAATGAACAGGATATCTCTATATCTTACCCTCTTTGGCACTGGCTCATCAGACATACTGCTGGCTTCTGGAATGACAAACGAATATTTTCGTCAAGCTTTTCAAATTTGGTTCAAAGCAGTTTGAAACCAAGAAGGCATGGTTATGTAGCCAAGTTAGAGTTATCTGCCCTTGAACAATCTATTACAATAAATATTTGTAAACACACGTTCATTCATTGTTTCTTTTTAAGATGCCATAACGCACAGTTCTAACATTTTGTTACAATAACAAAACTGACAACATACTGGGTGTATTGACAACACGAGGATAGCTTTAAAACGTTAATTACGAACATGGATGCAGTTAGTCGACACAAACATGGCGGACATTCCAACTTCCTGGAAAGAATTTTAAAATTATAAATGCATTTGAGAGTAACCGTTACTTTTACCTGATTATACTATTTCTGGGACTGCTACGAAAACTAAAAACATCAACAAATTCGTTCAGCATTCGTTCTCCAATTGTAAATATAAACATTGAACGGGTGCAGGACGGACCTCCCACAAGCCCAAGGACGCCGCCATGTGCTATGCAAATGAGCTCCAAAATGTCAAGGTATTTATAAATCTTCAAAACAAATGAAATACAAATTTGTACCATTATTCAAACAAGTTTATCCATTACAACCAATTTGTTGTGATTTTACTTTTCAAAACATTTGACTGAAGACAAGAAAGCCTTCGCAAAATGCTAGTATACCAACAACTAGTTATCAGCAAGAAAGCGATCACTGCGTTTATTTGGGGCTTAAAGAAATTATTTATCAAAAGTCGGTTCAACCTCAGTGAAGCGATTTGTCAATGTATGCATGTTAAAAAAAGGATAACATTTGTTCGGTGTGATTCCTTGACCGCCAATGTGTTCTTATTGATAGACAATGGAATTTATGTGTTTACTGAAAATATCGAACAGCAGGGATATCTGAAAATTCATTGTTCGGAGATAAACGTCTGATAGTGACACTACCCCTGTTTTTTTTACGTGTCTGAAGTACAAAGTTTGGGTTTGACAACACTGGCCAAAGCTATGGCTCTGGGGAAAGTACTTGGAATAATAACCGACAGTTCGTTGTCAACAAATCATGTGATCTTTGACTTTGGTGATACATGTAATCCTATCTGCATGGATCGATGCTCTAGATTGTCTCGCCCAGGGTAAATTATTCACAGTCTGTCGTCATATAGCTGGAAAATTATTGAGAGAATATCGAGAAAATCAATAAGATGTTGTTTTTTTCTAAACGAGTAGTCGTTTTTCAAATTTAGGTTAAGAATATTTAATTTAACTCAAGTATAATACACAAGTCTACCAATAACGTGATGGAGAGCTGGTTCAGATAAACCGGTGATTTTCTTAACGGCAGTAAGAGCAATGATCCATGCTATCCTGTTTCCACCATTCTTGTTCATGAAATTTTAAATTTGTTTATTTGATTTGTTATAAATAAACTACCAATAGTAATGACACATTAAGTATCTGTCTGTCCCTATATTTGAGAACGATTTCGTGTAATAATTAGACCCAAAGACTTGTAAGTGAAACAGTTTCAAACCTCTCGCTTTTGTAACACCATTTCTCCGGGGTTTTTTTTCAATTACGCTACCACTTCGGAAAAAAAATACCCTGTCCTTGCCTAATTTGACTGTGAATATTTACTGATAACTGCATGCATGAATAAGTTACTTGTTTATAGTGTCAAGTTTATAAGTCGGAGGGCGGTGGGGTAGCCCAGTGGTTAAAGCATTCGCTCGTCACGCCGAAGGCCCGGGTCGGATTCTCCACATGGGTACAATGTGTGATGGACAATTCTGGTGTACCCCGCTGTGATATTGCTGGAATATTGCTAACAGAGGCGTAAAACCCAACACACTCACTCACAAGTTAGGAGAGTGTCTCTGAACAGTTCAAGGGAAATAACTTCTTGAAAGCTTTTCACGGGGTGAGAAAAGCTTGGCTGAAAGGTCTAAGGGAGATAACTGAACTACAGCGTATTGCCATATATATTACAGCTGTATTTGGGTCGCCCTCATATATCGACATGTAAATAGTGATATAACATAACATTAATATATTTGCCCTCTACGCTTATAGCATGTACTTTGGAACGGAGACCCAAAATAAAGACTTGATAAAACTTACCTTCAACGTGTTATTGAAAGCATGAGGATATTCCCCTATATTTTTTCCTGTTATACCAAATAAACACTTTCTCCTGTCGTCTGCCAATGGCGTGATGTGGTTATGCTCTATCGGCTCGATACCCGTGACGGACCAGGTTAGAATATTGGTCTTCAGTAACCCATGCTTGTCGTAAGAGGCGACTAACTGGATCGGGTGGTCAGGCTCGCTGACTTGGTTGACACATGTCATCGGTTCCCAATTGCGCAGATCAATGCTCATGCTATTGATCACTGGGTTGTCTGGTCCAGACTCGATTATTTACAGACCGCCGCCTTATAGCTGGAATATTGCTGAGTGCGGCGTAAAACTAAATTCACTCACTCCTGGCTCGAAAGTTGAGTTGTGATAAGCATGGGTTGCTGAAGATCAGTTCCAATCCGGATATCCCGTAGAGCCAGGCTTTCCACGCTGATGAATCATTGAATTTTTACAAACCTATCGCAGAGCATTATTCGGCCATTTGTTACAACAAGCGTGAGTGAGATGTTGATGACCTATTCTGTCCCCAGAGCTACTGTGATGGAGTGAACATATTTCTTATCCTGTGTTAACACCATCTTTGAATTTGAAGAAACTATGGGAAGGCGCGAGGGATGAGTCAGTCAGATGTTGAGGACACATTGCAGATCCATCTACAGAAGAACTTTAACATTGAGCTTTGTTTTCTAAATAGCTGAATGTTTAAATAGTGAAAGGTAGATTTAAGTTTACTTCATTTGAATACAATTTAACAACTTAAGATAATCAGCCGAAATGTTCAACCACACAACAGAATGTGATACTGAACTATATAAATATTCAGCTATTTAGAAAACAAGGCTAAATGTCAATATTCTTCACTTTTTTATGTTTTGGGAGGTGTGGAGTCTTTTTCAGAGGAATCTATTTTCCCTGTTCTATCCAACTATAGATTCATAATTCCTAAGCACCATCAATCTGTTGATTTCTACCATAATTACAAACCATATTCATCTATCGATGCTCCTGACAACATTGCAATACCAACAGAACTGTGAAAAAAACACATATTATCACTCATGAGATCAAGATCTTGACATTACCCCCCCTTTAAAAGTGAGTGAGTGAGTGAGAATGGTTTTAGGCCGCTTTTAGCAATATTCCATCAATATCACGACGGGGACACCAGAAATGGGCTTCACACATTGTACCCATGTGCCCTAAAACGGATTTACACATCAAATTGACCCACGTCAGTGAGTGTAGTGCTGTATTCCAGTGTTGTATGTTTAACGTGGAGGAAAGCCCGAAGTGTTACAGTTCCTTGACATTTAAGCCCCTAGCACGTTATAGTGCTGAGAAATCTAGACACGTAGTCAGGGCGAGCTGGGATTCGAACTCATGATCGTAGGTTTGACCTGCAGAGCCAAATGCGGCACCGTGGACGTCAGTACGACCAATATCAGTTATTCTTTACATAGTGCATCCCACGAGGGACCTTTCCAGATTGTACCCATGAAGGGAACAGCGTCCAAATTTCGGTATCTCCAGATAAAGTTTTCAGCAATGATCTCACATTGCGTATTGATAACTAGTTTTCTTTGGGTATTCCATATAGTTTTGCCTTCATTGGGTCCCATATAGATGTTAGGCATTTCTGAATCAATGACGAGGGAACCTTTCCGAAACAATTCGATCTTCACAACTCCATGTGAGAAGGTAATTAACTTATCTGACCCAGTCCGATCAAACGATTGTCACGTCTGAGGGGGTTCAGGCAGCCACCGTGTTGTCAATGTTTGTGGTGTTGCTTCAACTACAAATTATTTTGTTGTTCTTAGGATACCGAAATGTGAGCGAAATCTTTCGCGTTTTGTTGTAGATAATTGTTGCTTTTTTTGTGTGTGTGCACTTTTTCAGATTATGATGCTGCGTTAGAACTTTAAACGCGGATAAATAAAACATAGATGATTCAGAATGACACAGTGCCATGCATTTCGCATCACTATATTTACGTCATCTGGTCTCTGAAATCAAGATCACCCCTTCACAGACAATTGTATATTTAAATAGAAATATTCGAATCAATAAACAATTAAGGAAACCAATCTTTCATAAAATATTCAACAGACGCCTTGACGACAAGATGTATGCCAAATAGTTTAGAGGAAAATACCATCATTAGGAGCAATCGTCGTTTGTGCTGATCCAAGGCACCAACATGTTGTCTGCTACGCTCTCTGCAGTTAAAAGGTATACATTTGTGCATGTTTAAGTAATTTAATATTGCACATGTTATTCTAACGCAAATGGCATTTGTCGGCGAGTTGTTGTTAGTTGTCTTTTCTGCTTGTCAACATATTGTTTCAAAGAAATCGCAAGGTCACTATCGCCCAGTGACGAGAAAGATTTCTACGTCTGAACCAAACTTATTGGAAAGGAATAAAGTAGAATAAACGGAATATAAATAATGCTGCTCATATTCACCACAACACTATTCCAATAAACACATATTTATCGGCCACAGTCCATCCGCTATCTCCAAGCGTGCATGATGACTTAATGAATTTATGTTTATATTGCAAAAACCTCTATTGCATTTTTTTTTGGGGAAGGGTGGGGGGTTGGGTGTTTAGAAGACGAAAACAAACCCAATGCATCTTGGTACAACTGAAGGTCATGCACTTGTGTCTTGTCTGGAATTTGAAACATATGAAATAAGACATGAAAATTATTTCCTTTTGACATAAAGGAAAGGTTGAGGCATTATTAAATTTCTTCTAAGTTTTGGTAGTTTGACCATGGTAATATGTTGTGTGGTGTGTGTGTTTATTCTGCATCATTTAGTGATTTACAGCAGATTTTCGTGCTAGGACCAAGCATATGATATACTCTTATCCATCTTGGCAGGGCCAAAATATTTTTTTCTTGATTCAGGCTTCTTACCAATGTCTAAAGTCACGGACTTGATAAATCCAAAGATGTAAATACATGTACATCTTTGAGAAATCATGAGTTGGACTCAAATAGACGTGGAGAGCTCTGTGCTTTGAATTCAAACTTTGACATCAGCAATGAATCTTGGATGAACCTGGTCATTACCTTATTACTGACATAAGACTACAGTAGAATGTAATGTAATACAGTTCATTACCAGAGCAAACAAACCATTCCATGGATATGTCGCCGGTTTTGCAAGCAGCACTACTTTGCTGATTTTATCTCTCTTTGGATATGTGCAGACAACTGGCCTTGATTCCTGAATTTGACATGTGACTGTTGATAGGTCAGCCATGCTAAATTAATAATTATCACTGATGTCATGTCTGTCTGGTTTGGTCTGATTCGTCCGTCCATCAGATGGCCTGGATAAAAGTTTACTTGTCTGTCTCTTATGCCTTAGAGAAGAAATTAAAACCTGAATTTTTTATTTTGTAGATAATTTTTTTCTGGGACAAAATAAAAGTTTGCTAATCTTAGGAGTAGGAATAACATTTTCTTCTTATGTTTCTAACATGATGCAAGAATAGGGTTTCAGGATGAGTTGCTTGCTCCTATTTCACCTTTCTATAATAGCCAAGTTGTAATTGTTTAATCTCTCCCAGGGCTGTGCCCTCAGCAGCATGCCTCGCTTCAGCGGCTGTGAGGATGAAGCACACACTGCCAGACCTCCCCTATGACTACAACGCTCTGGAGCCCTACATCTCGGCAGACATCATGAAGCTCCATCACCAGAAGCATCACAACACCTACGTCACAAACCTCAATGTGGCCCAGGAAAAATTGGCAGAAGCAGAGGCCAAAAGTAAGGACACGCTCTAATCTGCAACTTAGAAGCATTGGGTCCTCTAGAGTTAACCTATGTGTTTGCTAGGTCAAATAGTGATAACATGTATGAAGAACACCAAACTGCCATAAATTGTACCTGACCTCTTTAGAGAGATATCATTCTAGTTGACTTGTGCTAGATACAAATTGCTTTGCTTGATACAGACCTTGGGGATTGATGCAGTGGTATGTGAATTTTGAGGAACCATTAGTTCATGAGTCTTAAGTTAATCTGCCTCAGGTTTACATTTTAAGTTTGGTTTGATCGATAAGAACTTTCCTTTGACAAGGCATTGTTCTTATGATAATTGTAGACAAGGATTCTCATAATAAGTTGTTGATTGATAGTATTAATGCTCAGTGGAACATAGGCATCATTTATGTAGATGGATTTATATTCTTTAATTATAAGATTCAACGAATCTCATGAAAAAAATATGTGTCTTTCTGTTTCAATTATTAAATAAATGTAAGCAAGCATCATGACTTGCTCTGCCTAATGCATCTGAATTTGCTATTAGCACCTTTCATTGCCTAAAAGTCAGTTATGGTCCATTCAGAATTGAACCTGTGAAGATCCTGATCTTCAGTAATCCATGCTCCTTTAAACATCTGACTAACGGGATCGGGTGGTCAGGCTAGCTGATGTGCTTGATTGTGAAGCAGGGGTACAATTATTTTTTTAAAAGCCACTTGCCACAGTGACTTTAAGAAAGTAACTTGTCCTGGCTAATTTTCCACTTGCCCTGATTTTTATGACATAATCATGATGATGTAATTATGAAAGAATACATCAACATGGTATTTGATGTTAATGTTCACTGGACTATTTATCGAGAAGTGAGAAATAGCAAAAAAGGATAACTCTACTTAATTATCATTGCAAAATTTAATAGCTATATTTTGAGCAGATATGAAATGAAATCCAAGTTTATTTGCAGTTTGAAACCCCAAGCAGAGATTATCTAGTAGCCCACGGACAAGTAAGATACCATTATTTGATTGCCCGAAATGAAAACTGACTTATCCCGGGTGTCGGGTGATGGGATTTTTGAACCCCTGGTGAAGATCGATGCTTATGCTGTTGATCAATGGAGTGTCTGGTCCAGACTCGATTATTTACAGACCGCCGCCATAAAAGTTGGAACATTGCTGAGTGCTGGTATCTCAGAATCACCCCCACAAGTTATGAATGCTTTCCTCTAACATTAAGCTTACATTGAAGCTGAAATATGGTTCAGTGATAAACCCAACTCATTCACTCACTCACTCACAAGCCTTACGATAACAGCAGAAATCCTCAGCCCATCTGATCAGGAGTGAGGAGAGTTATACTAATTGAGCACTTTCTTCCAGACGATATCAACTCTATCATCTCCCTCCAGCCAGCCCTCCGGTTCAACGGCGGAGGACACATCAACCACTCCATTTTCTGGGAGGTGCTCAGTCCGAACGGTGGCGGGGAGCCAGATGGGGACCTTATGCACTGCATCAAACGCGACTTTAGTTCATATGAGGAAATGAAGAAGGAGCTAACTGCATCGGCTGTGTCAGTCCAGGGGTCAGGGTGGGCGTGGCTCGGGTTCAACCCTGTCAGTGGCCGACTGAGAGTGTCTGCCTGTGCTAACCAAGATCCTCTAGAGGCAACAGCAGGTGTGTCATAGTGATGGAAGTCTATTCTTGTAACAGGGACGTTTCTTGACATGCTTGACCGGAGACGGTGCTTGTAACAGGGACGTTTCTTGACATGCTTGACCGGAGACGGTGCTTGTAAGGGGCCTTTTGAAACCTGCTTGACCGGAGACGGTGCTTGTAAGGGGCTTTTTGAAACCTGCTTGAAAGCAGACAGTGCTTGCAACAGGGACGTTTCTAGACATGCTTGACAAGAGACGGTGCTTGTAACAAGGCCTTTTTGAAACCTGCTTGAAAGCAGACAGTGCTTGCAACAGGGACGTTTCTAGACATGCTTGACAAGAGACGGTGCTTGTAACAAGGCCTTTTTGAAACCTGTTTGACAGGAGACAGTGCTTGTAACAGGTACGTTTCTAGACATGTTGACAGGAGACTGTGATTGTAACAGGGCCTTATTGAAACTTGCTTGACAGGAGACAGTGCTTGTTACAAGAACTTTCTAGAGCAGCTTGACAGGGACAGTGCTTGTAAAAGAGACTTTTCTAGAGCTGCTTGACAGGGACAGTGCTTGTATAAGGGATCTTTCTCAATATGCTTGAAACAGAGATGTTTCTAGACCTTCTTGACAGACGTCAGTGCTTGTAACATGGACACATTTAGACCTGCTTGAGAGACATCAGTGCTTGTAACAGACATTACTAGACATGCTTGACAGAAGACAGTGCTTGTAACAGGGATGTTTCTAGACATGCTTGACAGACGTCAGTGCTTGTAACAGGACATTTCTAGACAAGCTTGACAGACGTCAGTGCTTGTAACAGGACGTTTCTAGACAAACTTGACAGGAGACAGTGCTTGTAACAGGGACGTTTCTAGACTTGTTGACAGGAGACAGTGCTTTTAAGAGGGATTTTTTCTTGATATTAGGCCTAATTCTGCAGTCTGTCAGTAAAATTCCCATATTGAAATGAAAGATTTCCCAATTTACTCTGTTGAAGATCTGGGTGACAACTGGTCTTCAGCAAACCATGTTTGTTGTAAAGATGACAAATGGGATTGGGTGATCAGACTCGCTACCTTGAATCATGCCTGTCACTTTATCCAATTGCATACATCTGTGACCATGATGTGAATCACTGGATTGTCTGGTCCAGACTTGATTATTTACAGACCGCCATCATATAGCTGGAATATTGCTGGTCTGATAAAAAAACCCAACATCAATGATGTCTAGTCTCTTAGACTTGATGTCATAAATTACTAACCCTTCACTCAGCTCAGCATGAAGATCTGGGTTAGAATTGATCTTCAATAACCCATGCTTATTGAAAGAGGCGACTAATGGGATCGGGTGGTCAGACTCGCTGACTTGGTTGACACGTCATCGTATCCCAATTGCATAGATCAATACTCATATTGTTGATCACTGGATTGTCGTGACCAGACATGATTACTTACAGATTACCGCCATATAGCTGGAATATTGCTGAGTGCCGCGTAAAACTAAATTCACTCACTCAGCTCTCCTACATCTGTATTTCAGGACTGGTTCCCCTGTTTGGCATCGATGTCTGGGAACATGCCTACTACCTCCAATACAAGAATGTGAGGCCAGATTATGTTAAAGCTATTTTCAATGTTGCCAACTGGGATAATGTGGCCCAAAGACTATCAGAAGCTAAACTTGCTGCCTGAAGTTCATGAGTGAAGACAAAGTCTGTGAGATGTGTATAACAGAAAGTTTCCTTACCCAAGAGAAGATCTGTACCTGATGCTCGGTGTGGAATATTGCACTGGACATCAGTAGACATTGAAATATAGATTACAGATACAATGATTTAATCATGATTGAAAGATTTTTGATGTGGCTTTTAAGACACAGTTCTGCTTTGAATGCAAATACTCAGTATCTTATGCCCAATGCTGTTGTGGTATTGTTTTGAAAAATAAATTTTGTCATCTTCAAACCGAATTGTTCATTTCTTTCTTCAACAGTTCAGCCCTGTGACAGTAGTCACGTTTGTATTTTCTATACACAAGGCCTCCTTACCCAAATGCATGGATTTTGCATAGAATGTTTGCATGTGGAAATAAACATTTATATAAATAACAAACATCAAGATATTGAACATTTGTTCATACGAAAGTAGACAACAGTGTAGCATATAATAACAGTTAGATGATGTTAAAGGCACAGAGTCACACATTTTCGACAATATTTTGGTCAATATTATATATATTGGGGCATGTGCACACACTTTAGCTTGTGAAGCCCATTTCTGGGGTCCCCTGCCATGATATTGCTGGAATATTGCTAAAAGTGGTGTAAACCTAAAACTCACTCATATAATATGTGTACATATGTCCTTTTGGAGACTTGACCTTGTCGTTCCAACCATATTAAAATTTCAAGTCTTCTGCACCTGTGAAGAATTGATCTTCAGCAACCCATGCTTGTCGAAAGACGTCATCATAGATTTCTGGCATAACTGAGTGGTCGATTGCAGCTGACACATATCATTGTATCCCAATATGTTTGTAGATCGATGCTCATGCTGTTGATCACTGGATTGTCTGGTCCAGACATTCGATTATTTACAGACCACCACATTCCAGCTGGAATATTGCTGAGTAATCGAAAACTGGACCAGACTCCACTGATCAACATCATGAGGAGCAATTGTAATACAATGGTGCATCACCAAGTCAGTCAGCCAGAAATCTATAATCCCGTTTTTAAATCCCTGTTTGTTATTATCTAGGTTTGTCAACCCCATACCTTTGTTTGGGTTTCACCAGAGTTGTGAACACGTGACCTGGACTTTACAGTATTTGCTCTGTATTTCTGCCACATGATGGTGTCAACCAAAATTGTAACAAAACAGGATAGATCCAAGAAGCGAATTTGTATCTTTACGATTGCAAGTTCATACTTACAGCCAAACACTGACAAGGCAATAGAACAGTCTGATTCTGATTCTTGTATTAGAAGATAGAGGGAAGGTTTATTAAAGGTTTCAATATTATTCCACAATCTGGAGGAGAAACAGATTTTGTAGAATTAAGAAGTACTCATGTGTGCCAGGATAATCAATGTTATTATTTTATTATAGGAGCGATATCCATGACTTTATGCCACTGGTATTTTTTCGATCATTGGATGTCAATCTATTCCATCAATATCAAAGATGGAGGACTTTCTCATCACAAATGGGCTTATGCCACACATCAATATCAAGATGGAGGACACCACAATGGGCTTCACACATTTCAGCCACAAGATGAATCAAACCCGGGTTGTTGGTGTGACAAGCGGAAGGTCTACCTACTAAGCTACCCCACTGCCCCTGTTTGTACAGGTGTGAAATGATACAACAATGTCATGGTATGATACTCATCACAACTTGATACACAGTGTATGAAATAAGGCCCGCCTGACCGCCAGAGACGGGTTAGATTTCAGATGGACGGTCTAGATTTACAGCTAGCCAGCTCGATGGTCTGGTAAAAATTTAGATGTTATATACATCTGAGCCTTATCTTTGTGTCTGGTCTGGGACTGGTAACATTTTGAAGTTACCAGCCCCGTCTTTTGGCTTATTTCATACACTGGAGTGAGGTGAGGTGAAATTGGGTTTTTTGAGAATATTTACGGCCATAGCGTGCATGCTGATGCGCTCTAGCCCAGACTTGCTGGTTTTATAGTGCTAGCCCACTATACCACGCCACAGTGAAGCATGAATATCCCACTCAGACACATTATATTGACTCCGAGACGACCAGTCCTTGTTGTACCCATTAATGCCGAGCGCTAGGCAGGGACCAACAAGTACCATATTTTAACGTCGTTTTGGTATGACGCGGTCGGGGAACTCATACACTAAATATATACCATGATACACATCATATTAACATGGAAACGTCTTGACCACAAATACTCGGGGCAGGTTTCCAATGAACAGCTGGCTGTAGACTCATAGCTATTTTTGTAGTAAATGTGATATATTGTATTGGTTTCAATTCATTTTGTAACATTTTATTAAGAAAATGTGACATTAGGAGTGTCATTTTAACCTACCTTTGTGCATTTCTGACTGTTCTTTACAACAGTGTTTTTACTGCAATTATTTTTGTTTGCAGTTTTAGTTTCTCTTTGGTTGTTTGAGAGTCCATAATGGTGAGGTGAGGTGAAATTGGGTTTAAGCTGGAATATTTTATAGTGCATGCGTAATGTGTAGCTGCACTAGCCCAGAGGTTTTATAGTGCTAGCCCACTGAGATACCATGCCACAGTGAAGCATGAATACCCCACTCAGACACATTATACTGACTCCGAGCCGACCAGTCCTTGTTGTACCCATTAATGCCGAGCGCCAGGCAGGGACCAACAAGTACCATATTTAACGTCTTTTGGTATGACGCGGTTGGGGATCGAACCCGCGACCTTCCGCTCTCGGGCGGACGCTCTAACCACTACACCACGGAGGTGGTCCCATAATGGAGTTGTGGTGACGCGAGAATCCATGATCAAGGATCATGATTACTGTATATTACCATAGATAAGCCGATCTCATAGATAAACCGACCCCCTAACTTGACCCTTAAAATCAAAAGGGCATGTTTCGTACATGCATAGGGTGAATTTGACCCACAGGCAGGGGAAACAACTCTGCACAAAGAACTGCAGCAACTAAGACCTTGGACATACGGTTACATCTCCACTGCCCACTTTTGGCAGGGTCACAAACAAAATCAATCTGTCTGGTTTCATCAAACACAATGTTTTCCTAGCATGTTGGTGGGTGTATCCAATCATGTCCATCAAAGCATTTTTGTTGTTCAACGCCCCACTCAACAATATCCAAGCTATATGGCGCCGGTCTGTAAATAATGGAGTCTGGATGGGCATCAATCTGACGTTTGCCAACCAAGTCAGCGAGCCTGACCACATGATACTGTCAGAGGCTCCTTACGATAACCATGACAAGACTAATTCTAACCTTGATTTTCACGGGTCTCCTTCAAAAGGACATTAAATACTTCTTGTTACTCTGCCTGGCATTTGGCATTAAGGGAACATGGTGTATGAAGTATGGTGTACAACTTACACTGTGGTGTAGTATCTCAGTGTTCAACAACAACATACCGAAACTAATTTGGACTACCAGGAGCACACATGCTGCTATCTATTGATGTTAAACCCAATTTCACCTCATCTTGCCTTCAAATGTCATGTATCAGAAAATCGAACACGACACAGCATGAACTTAATAAAGAAATCCAATTACAAAGTATTACAGTCCCTCCTGGATTCCGTGGTTGCAGAATCAATTGCGGAAAATACCATTTCATGCAGAAAAACGTCTGGTCCACCAAAAATGCATTTTCATGCAGAATACCTGCAGAACTTGCCATTTTTCTGCCGCAGAATTTACTTATTTTGAAAGTTGAATCCAGATTACCTATCAAACGAAACAATATTGTAGAGTTTGTAATGTCATTGAATGTCATGAAGCTCTAAAACATTTACAGCTGTGTGTTTAAGAATTCAAGTTTGAAATTATCATTTTTTGTTGTTTTTTCAAGTATTTAACTGCAGGGGCGGTGGGGTAGCCTAATGGTTAAAGCGTTGGCTCGTCACGCCGAAGACCCGGGTTCGAATCCCCACATGGGTACAATGTGTGAAGCCCAATTCTGGTGTCCCCCGCCGTGATGTTGGTGGAATATTGCTAAAAGCGGCGTAAAACCAAACTCAGTCAGTCAGTCAGTCCTTTAACTGCAGAATCTTTTGCAGAATTTTGAAAAATGGGATGCAGAATTTACTTCAATTCCTGCAGAATTCTAAAAAATTCACCGCAGAATCCAGGCGGGACTGATATTAGAAAGTTCCAGACAAATATATCTTCCCAAGAAGAAAACACAGATTTGGAGTCCCGTCAAGACCAATCAATCCATGCAGCAGTAAAACAATTTATTTCAATTTTAAATGTATACATAATAAAACATCAAACCGAATCTTAAGCACGTTAAGTAAATCAATGACTTTGAGAGTCGATAAATGAACATAAACATCTAAAAATGTAAAATACGTTTCTTGCACTGTTACTACAAAAGCTTCTTTTCTTAAGCAAAGTTTGTATGTTCTACACTTTATATTTCATTTCCAGCTCATTCCGGTATAACACGGCTATTCTTGGACTTATCAACGAAATGACAAGATAAAGCATCTTCTACGGATCCCTCAAGGATCACATGCTGTTATATTTGTTTGTACATGTATGTCCATGAAAACAAGCTGAAAAAAAGTTTATGTACATTTTCATTAAAAAACCCATGCGCTATTATGCAGCACAGTCCAATAAAAACACATATTGATGAACAATGCAACATGACAATAGAAAAGTAACATAATTTTCTAAGGTATCTCATCACAAAGTAATATGACGCACAGAAGGAGACAGAGAGATGATGGAAGCTTTTGTCTTCACTAAACATAACCCTGTATAAGCCAAAACTTAAGAATTTTTCTGGGCACAAGTCCTGAGGCCTAACGTCAAGACTTATTTCACAGGTACTCAGATTGTAGATAGTCGTGTTTAGTGTTGGGAATTGGTTCAAATCTCATAATTGATGATTGGTTCATTACTACCGATCAATCATCGAAAATAATTGGTTAGTGTCATTTATGAAATTTTAATGCACATAAAAATAAGGGAAGAAATGTAGTTCTTTTGGTTGGTTTTTTTGCAAATTTTCACATCTTTAAAGGATGACTAGTATGTTAGGAACATAAATTTCTTGGAATCTTTAAGATAAATTCAATCATGACTTGAAACGAGCTTGTAGTGCTTACGAAATGTAACAGACAAAACAAACCATGTGAAAAATATTGTTAATGAAAACAAGTGTTCCAGAATTGTTTGTGTTCGATTATGAGAAATTATGATCGATTGCTTGGTCGTTTAGTCACTACGACCAATCTTCGATTATTTCAATTAATCGGACCACCACTAGTCGTGTTTGAATTAGACAAAAATGATACATGGTTTATGAGTGAATGCTTTAACCATTAGGCTACCCCACCGGCCCTGAACTTGTTCAGAAATATAAGAATTCTGTTGATGAGGACTATCATCACTGGGATGCTACCTGTCCTCAGTAGCCTCTGCCTAGAAGGATGGTCTCTATTTTGAAATGTCACTGGTTATTAGTGGTGGTCCGATTAATTGAAATAATCGAAGATTGGTCGCAGTGACTAAACGACCAAGCAATTGATCATGTTTTCTCATAATCGAACACAAACAATTTTGGAACACTTGTTTGCTTTAACAATATTTTCCACAAGGTTGGTTTTGTCTGTTACATTTCATAAGCATTACCAGCTCGTTCCAAGTCATGATTGATTTTATCTTAAAGACTCCAGGAAATTTATGTTCCTAACATATTAGTCATCCTTTAAAGATGTAAAATTTCCAAATGCATTGTGTGCAATTCTCAATAAACTCGAAAGAACTACAGGTTTTTTCTTTATAACCAGGACATTTTTATAAATGACGCTGACCAATCATTTTTGATGATTGATTGGTTGTAATAAACCAATCATCAATTATGAAATTTTAACCAATTCCCAACACTACTGGTTATAGATGCATTTATGGCTTCTTTGAACAATATTTCAGTTACATGAATTTGGTTTTACGCCGCTTTTAGCAATATTCCAGCAACATCACGGCAGGGGACACCAGAAATGGGCTTCACAAATTGTACCCATGTGGGGATTCGAACCCGGGTCTTCAGCATGACGAGCAAACACTTTAACCACTTTGCTACCCCACTGCCCAGTTACATCAAGGGGTGTCATCTTAATGCTTGAGGAAAGCCGAAAGTGATGCAGTCCCAAGACATTATCAAATTTGAGAAACCCACAAGCATTGGTTTGCTGCTGACAAACCTAGGTTATTAATCAGGGGAGATCTGGGATTTTCATACACAATCACAGGTTCCTGGCATACTCAAGGGACACAACTCTGCGCAATGAATTTTTGCAGGATTGGCAACTCATGCCCTACAAAATAGCACATCAACCAAAAGCACTGAGCACACAATATACTATATAGCAAATTCAATCTATATACAATGCTTCTTTTATCTAACCAACACAAAATTATCTGATACTCAAGTTGAAAAATAAAACGCTTCCACTTTAAAAGAAAAGAATTGTCTCTCATCAGGAACAGACAATTTCACACAAGAGCACACATTTATTGTTGATGACTTCCTTCACTAAAATTTAGTAAAAAAGCAATCACATAGCAAATTAATGTAAATAATAAAACATAAGCATAAGCCAGCATTCAGGTTAAATAATGAAATGAGAAAATGAGTGCAGGAGTTTATCTGAGACTTAGAACTAAAAGTAAAACTGGAAAATAATTGTAAACTTGCATAAAATTGGGAGACATTTTGTAATTATTTTTTTTCTAAGTATCCGACCCGCTCAACATTGCATTCAATAAAATCATAAATTTACCTCAACGTCCTTTGGATATTGTAATCAGCTGACTCACCTAACCAAGCTGCCAATTAATCATGTTAATTATAGCTATATTTACATGAATTATGAATTTTAACATTACATTTATGGGCATTCACTGAAATTTGTAGCAGAGGTGGTCGATTATGAGCCCATGAATAAGTCTAGATAAATCCCTGGTTGTATAAAAAATGTAGCACAAAACTCACAAATTCAGCACAGAGCTACTTCATCGACCAGAACAGTCTGCACACCAGAAAAGATTGAAAATGTTTCTCACATCATGAAAATATTAGGCTCAACTGATGGCAAATCATGATTCATTTCCACCATAAACAAAGAACTCGCACTTGTTTTGTAAGTCTTGTAGTTGACTGGATATAAATCAAGTATTGTTTTAAATTTAGAGATTTTAAACTTCAATTTAATACCTATAATTTTTTTCCAATTTGAAACCTCATGGTATGTTTTCAGGTATCAAACCTACGTTCAAAAAATCTAAATTGAAAACACTAATCTGGATGAACATCCAAATAAACCTTATGAAACAGACATTCAATCAAAATGGACTTTAAAAAATTCAAAAGTTTTAAATTGAAAAAAAATATCAAAAGCCTCACAAAAAAAAAAATCTCAAAAAATCATGAATCTTGTGTATAACACTCCAGTTTGAGACACATCTCCTTGTGTGCCACCTTCCAGTGTTCCCGCTGGCACTGCTTGCTACAGTAGCGAGACAGTCGGCATGCTCCGCAGTAACGAAAATGGTCTCTTTCCTCCTGGAACTGTCTGCGACAACATGGCGCTGAACAAAAGATAACATGCCCATTATCACTCTTACACTCCTCCTTGAGAATGTCCCGCAGTGACTGCTTGTCTATTAACTGTGTCCCTCCATCCAGCTCGATTCGAAGCGCAGTGTAGTACTTTAATACCACAGGATCTGTTAGACGGATTATTTTGGGACCAATCTTTCTTTCCAGGCATTGCTTGTACTCTTCAACAGCAATAATAGCTGACGAATGCCTCACTTGATGACGAACATTTTTACCTCCATGAATCACCAGCCCGTACAATAACTTTACACTATATTCAACAATATCCACAGAGTTGTCATTGAAATCAAGCTGTTTCTGGGCAACTGAATGAAGGTCCTTAAGAATCTTATTTGACATGTACAACTCTACCAGAGACTGTTTTCCAACAATGAGACACCGATACATGATAACAAGCATTTTCCCCACAAGCCTTGGTTCCTTCGTCTGTCTCAAAGCTTCAAAGAAAATCGGCACAAGCGCCTGTCTGTGGTAGAGGACTCTCTTTATGACATTCACTGTAGTCAGACATTCACAGAATAGGTTCATTGCTTCAAACAGATTGGAATACACATGGCAGTGACAGGAGTGAAGAGTGTTCGTTTTGATTGTCAGAATAATTTTTTCTATTCCGACCTCCCCCAGGCACTGCATTACTTTCCAGTAGTTGAATTTATGCTTCATGATATCGCTTGATTTCATTTTCTGAAGTTTGTCATATATTTCACCAACTCGTTTCATTTCCCTTCGCTCTAAGTTAGTGACGACATCATTTGCGAAGCCTTCAATGGTTTTCACACCACACTCTGCCATCACTGTGAACAGAGAACATTAGTGTAAAAACACTCGAACTTAACTAACACTCCAGATTCCATAAGGACACCTGTTCCCTGCATGAAAGTAATTAATTATCTAATAATATTTAGGGGTAAAACAATACATCAATGCACACGTACATCATGAATTTTCAAGTAATGTTAAAATAGATAATGCATTTCTTTCTGCATCAATACAAAATAATTCACTTGCTAAAATAAACATTTCCTACTCTTTCAAGGATCCTCCTGCATTTCTGTCAGTCAAATATTGAAAAACGCGTAGCAGTTAGAGGTATTTTTCCTTAGTGCCTGCGCTTAAACATTTATACATGTACTAAAGAAGTTATTTATTATTATTATTATTGGATATTAATATAGCGCCCATATCCACGCACTAGTGCATGCTCAAGGCGCTGGTAGTTTTTCCCTCGATTATTGGATGTGAATCTCAACAGCACATCTTAATATCAATCTCAACTCCCTGGGGAGGGTTGTGTACTGTACACTAGGGGTTGTGACAACACTGAAAGAGTCTGCACATAAAGTTGACTCCAAGGTTTTTACACCCAGTCACAGGTGGGCTCGATCCCGGCACCTCATGCTCACTGGATCACTAGCCTGGTGCCTTAGCCAGCTCGCCCACCATGCCCCCAGCTCGCCCACCATGCCCCCAGCTCGCCAATCATGTTTACAAACAACTTAACATCAACATTCACATGATAATTGTATCATGAAATGTATCGTATCATGATCTATGTATCGTTATATACCATATATATAAATTTACCACTAGTTTTCAACGAGGCATTTCGTCATTTTTAATCATTCTTTGTTGACAGAAATGAATCACATGATAATGATATTGATAGGACAAAATCTGATCATGTATGATCATGTAAACAATACGATTTGGGGATTTTGTACAAACAGAAATAGAATCTTTCTCAATGCTACAAATAAACAAATCTCATAAGGTAAGCTTACCATTGTCTAGTACTAGATCGATAAATAAAATAACAAAAGACAAAGAAAAGAGGTTGTTTGGTTTATCCTACTTAAAACATTTCATCATCTTTTCATCAACCTGTGTCCATATCGACCTTGTGAACTGATGTGTCTCAGTTAGGGTCGTTGTCGGCACGGGTACTACACATATGTACCCCAGGTACGTTTCTGAATACAGATATGTACCCTGGCCACAATGAAAATACAGAAACGTACCCTTGGACGATTTCATTCCCATTGTGTCGAATTCTTGATCGGAACTGGCATGCTGTTGTATTAGATACATTTGATTGCGTTATGTAAGTAATGAGAATACACAACACAGTAACGGATATTTCGCGATGCACATGAATACCACTCGCAATCAGTGAACGGGAACAACTACATGTGGTTTCGGTTTTGGACTGCGGAATATGGACTCGTCCGCCTTTTAGGGTACCAGGTACGTTTATGTATTTTGGCTTTGTTTAGGGTACATACTCTGTATACAGAAACGTACCTGGGGTACGTATCTGTAGTACCTGTGCCGACAACGACCCCTTCAGCGTCAGTTAGCTACTTTACTGAAGTTGGAGGCAGTACAGATTTACTTACAGATGAATACAACATATAGATCTACCTTTTATTGATGCGATTATACTAGCTGATTGTCGGTGAATTAAGGCTCATCGAAGTTGCCTTTGACTTTCCAGCACAACTAAAAAATAACCGGCTTTACAGCCAGAAGCTCGTGTGCTTCTCTAATCCCCGCGCATGACGGATATTGAACATTAAAAGTTTGAACTTAGTTTCAATCCGGATTATGCACGATAATTACGGAAAATGATTTGGTTTTAGAAAATACTTACTTCGTGAGACAAAATATAGACAATCAAGAATGTTTCTTTCACCACTACTAAACCACACAAATGAAATCTTATTGTGCTTCAACAAATCTCTGTGTCACCCTGACCTTAAGAAAACAATCCAAGTTTTTATTAACCTGTAACCTCACTATAAAAGCCTTCTCTTAAAATAAATATAAACTAACAGACAAACATGGTTGTTACTGATAAATTAGACATTGTATGGAAATGAACGACTGACCAAAGCTCCAAAGTAGGTTGTTTAATTGGTCGTGTCAAATGGTGCTCACGGATATAACACCTACATACTCCATAAAACGTGTCGGTTTTGGGTATGTTATAGTTATGGTATTATCAACACAAGACTGTATTTTCTAATCTTTCCTGCGATAGCATATTCGTGAACAAAAAGGTGGGAGTCAATGTGACCCACATCGCCGAAGCTAGCACTATATACATACGTACACGACTGACCAGGAAGTCGATTTCCATACATCTACCTTCTTCCCCACTAATTTTCTATATTAACTAATTTCCATATACTCACTTGGCACAAAAATAATGTCTGTTAACGTTTCCCGACACTCGGTTGTTGTCATTTTGGCAAATTAGGTGATGCACCTGTTCGAGCGTTATATACGACATCCGAGTCTCAACACGTCGCGGGTAGGCACTTCGTGAAAACGACCCCGTTATAACAACAGCTGCTTGGCGACACGACTGTCGTATTCCGCCAGTCTCGTATGTAACAGGACAGAGCTGCAAGTTCGACTCATTGTCATGTGGTCGTTTAGAATTATATATTATATAATTACGTGTTTCCACTGCAAAGCGTGGTCCACGTGCAGATATGGGGAGACGATGTCAATTTCAATTGACAATGACGAGCTGTCCAGCGTGAGCGGGTTAAACACAAGCTAAACGATACTGAAGTAACAAATAGTATGTCTAAGTGTATTTTAAAGACAAGTGTTATGTGCCAAAACCCAGAGCGTTACACAAAATTAAAATACAGTGCAGTAGAGGTGTTATATCTTCATTGAAATTCAGTCTTTTGCAAGGGGTATGTCTTTAGGCAGCTTTTAAAGATTGTCAATGAATGAGCGTTCCGGGTCAGGGTAAAAGTTCTAGCTGTGGTCTAAGGGGTAACTCTGGTCTAGCTGAAGTAAGCGCTAGTAAAATCGGATCCGGTTTTGCAATGCCCGAAAAGTAATACGCTTCTGCTAACAATTCGGTGCTGTTTGAATGGATTTTAAAACTTCATAGGTGACCTGTATCGCGGTGTTACGTGTATTTCCAGTATATATACCTGCTCTCGATTCACAAATTCAGTTGCAACAGCCCGAGTGTAACAGTGTAATGGATACTGATACAAAACTACTGAAGTACCTTAACTGCTGTGTAATCACAAGTTCACTTGCGTTAGCGTGAGTGTGACTGACTGATTGAGTTTAGTTTTACGCCGCAGTCAGCAATATTCAAGCTATATGGCAGTACTTTACATCACCGACGGCCCAGGGATACATTGCCGAATGTTTCAAAGAGTTTCTCACACATTTACGACACACGGCACATTACCCGTGCAAAACATGCGACAGTCTGAAGAAAAGCGCGTGGACGATTATAGCCGCTCCTTCAACCGCGCTGTTTGCAATTGATTCCACACAAACGCAGACAAGTTGTGCACGTTTATTCACCGTGTCAGCATGGATAGCACTTGAAAAGTAATAGGTAAGTATGCAGTCATAACATCTACATCTATATCTACATATCAACATGTGCATGGATACCTTGGCGACTCTTTGTCGGCTTAATTTCCCCCTCATGATATGTCCTATAAAGAGACTACCACTGCAAAGCGTGGTTCACGTGCAGATATGGGAGACGAGAGAAGTGTGTATGGTTGCGAAAGCTATGTAAATGTGCAAATGCCATTTCCTATCGATCTGCCCTTTCCAAGTTTAGATCCGGTTCTGCACCTCTAAAGTTGGAAACAGGCAGATATTCAAATATGCATGTAAATGAAAGAGTGTGTTTTCAATGTAGTGATAAGATTTAAGTCGAACGTCATGTACTGTTGGCATGTCCGCTGTACGATGATCTACGTGAAAGTTTATATGGCCATATGTGGTTCAGCTATCCCAACTTCCTAGATTTATGTTATAATAAAGAAATGATTTTACTATTTAAAGAACATGTTTATTTTACAGCCAAAACCTGCGTTCTTCAAAGAAGAAACTTATTTTATGCGGCTAAATCCTTTAGTGTACCTTTTATCATATATGCCACTTCTATGTAATAGTCTCTCATAACCCCTTAATTGTGGCTCATTTTATGTATATGTCTGTATATATCTGTACTTTTACATGAGGTGAGACTTAAGTAAAATATTTGTCTGTCTTCTCAGGACGTGGACAGACGGTTTTCCTTTGATGTCGTCTGTTTTTAAGTAAGGGATTAACTGGTCGGGAAGTGTTAAAATCTTAACTGTTACCGGAATTGTGAATGTTTCGTGAGTCTGTTCACTCTGGTAGTTCACTCTGGTAAGCATGGTTAGCATGTGACTATGATAGGTGAGTGAGTTCACTCCAGAAATCGCTTGCAGTGTTGACTGATTTCACAAAATGTGTTCACTCCGATAAGTGTACACGCTAGGTGAGTAATAATCACTGTCAGGAAATTGTTGCTACAGTTAGATTACAAATTACTTCTGACATTTCTGAGGCGGAAGATATTTCTGCGTGAATTGACACACATACAGAATCCTGAAGAGAAGAACAAATGACTTGTGTTCGTGGCATCAAGTGTTGTAAATCAACTGTATCTACAGGTAACGACATCCTCACACAACCACCCCGCTGATCCAAATGAAACTGAGATTTGTCGATGTTTAATAACCGTGGGAACATTAGCGTCATTGCCGACACAGTGTATTATAATTTTATTAAAACTGTAAATAAACCCTTGTTTCTGTTTCCTTATACTTACGCAGTCTAGTATTGCCTGAAATCTTGCAATCACAAACTCTGTCTATTGTCTGGCGTTAATTAGCTTAGTAACCCACAGTGGATTACATTTTTCTAGACTTTGTTTTTACACGACTTAGGATGTCCACGTCCCGAGAATACCCCTACTGGAGTACCTTAGTTGCTGTAAAACCACATGTTCACTCTGTGTCAGCGTGAGAGGAACAGCTTTATGGATATTGATAAACGCTACAGAAATACGTGCTTCGTGTCGACATGTCTCTTTTGGTTGCTGTTGATATTTAGATGGAAATGGTGTCTACCAACAGTGCAGAAAAAATCCGCACTAAACTCGCCATGAGATATTACGTGTTTGCAATTATTCGTAGCAGCTAATGATCACGAACTATACCAAAGGGGCACACATTACTATATATGTTTGTTCTTCCTAATAATATAAAATTTGTTTATTTGTTTTTCTTGATTTATCTGTTTATTTTTCGTGTTATCTTTGAAGGTCTCTTCCACCGGCATTTATACGATGCAATTATTTGTATAATTTTGGGATGGGGTCAATTTCACTTTATTTATTTATTTTTACTTTATGCTAAATATACTCATGCCAATAATGCTTGTCACCCCCCCCCCCCCACCCCAACCCCACCCACACCCCTCGCCGCCAAAAAAAATTGAAGTGGGTTACAACCATTATTGGCATGAGTATATTTGACCGTTTAAAGAATCACCCCATGACTGAAAAACTCTCTGAAAAAGGACGTGTTTCTTAAATATTTCACTGTATAAATTCTGGACATTATATTAAAAATGCTTGATGCTCCACGCTAATGCCGCTAACACTATCCTATAACTCGTTTGCACTAACATTCGTTTTATCATTACTTGGCACTAACTAAAACATGTATTTTCTAAACAGTCATAAATGTACTTTCAACCATTCACATGCACTGTTTAATGTTTGTGTCCACACCTAGAAAAGAAAACCAGCAGGGCAATTCATAAAAAAATAAAGTTATCGGCGTGATAGCTTCAGATTGAGTGAGTGAGTGAGTTTAGTTTTACGCCACACACAGCAATATTCCAGCTATATGGCGGCGATCCGTAAATAATTGAGTCCGGACCAGACAATCCAGTGATCAACAGCATGAGCATCGATCCACGTAATTGGAATACGATGACATGTGTCAACCAAGTCAGCGAGCCTGACCACCCGATCCCGTTATAGTCGCCTCTTAGGACAAGCATAGGTTACTGAAGATCAGTTCTAACACGGATCTTCACGGAAGGATAGCTTCAGAAATACGTGAGAGATCAAGCTACAATGTATAAACGATTAATATTAATATTTCCGGATCAAATAATCTCGGGAGAAAATAATATTTATACGAGAAAATATGCCAGAAGCTGCCTGAGGAAAGAATATCCTTTGAAAAAAAATCCAGTGGAAATGTTTTTTTGGATACTACATCCTATACATAGAAAGACTCTCCAGGGGAAATAAATATCCTATTACATAAGGACATGCATGCTGAATATGTGAGCGAGTGCAGTAGGAGAAGATGTACATAGCATTAGTTCACCGAGAAGCGCTGTTTTAGCAAGTGTCAAGAATACGTGACGCGTTTTATCGACAACTTCTTTTTTTATTCTTTTCACGACGTTTCAGAGCTATTTCTTGCTCCTTCATCAGGTGAATGCTGAGTCAGTGTACATAGTGAATATATATATAGTATGACCAGCAATTATTGATAAGTTTAGGAATATGTTTCATTGGATTTCTAGTATAAACAACCTTGACCAGCTATCAAGTGCTTGGTTTCATTCAAGAGAGACAACTCCGTTAATCCTTTTCCATTAGTTTGTGAAGAGTTATTCCCCTTTGTTTACTTGCTAGCAGACGACATTTTCAGTGATCCTCAGTATGGATGATTTAGAGAAGAGGAAGTTGATTTTAGAGTATTATAACAAGGACATCAGATCAGCTAAAGTGATTTCAAGTAGAATAGGCATCCCTTTGTCCAAAGTTTATCGTGTTTTGAAACATATTGCAAATGGATATGGCATTGAGCACCAGGGAGGCGCAGGTAGGCCCAGAAATTTGACTGTCGGTGACAGGAGGCGGCTTGGTAGTCTTGTTTCTAAAAACAAACGAAGGAGTTTAGAAACCTTAAGGCTGGATATGATTGATAGAGGAACTGTGGCTGTCTGTAAGGAGACAATTAGAATTGAGCTGCATATGGGTTGGCAGAAAAGTCGAGGAATTCCATCACCGATCATGAAACCTGAACAAAAGGAGCGAAGGTTGAACTGGTGCTTACAGCATAGAAATTTTAACTGCGACAGTGTGACTTTCTCAGATGAAAGTTCTGTGTGGCTGTTTCCTAATAAACTAAAATTCTGGACCAAACCAACTGAAAAACCTTTGTATCAGCGCCCAAAGTACAGTCCGAAATTTAACGTGTGGGGTTGCATATCTGTGTTAGGGGCAACGCCCCTCTGTGTATTTGAAGGGAATATGAACAGTGAGCGGTACACAGATATTCTCGAGGGACATTTACTTCCATCTGCTCACGAGTATTGCAAATGTTCTATGGAAATGTTTGGATTTTCCAGCAGGACAACGACCCAAAACATCGTTCAAAGCATTCACAGGCCTGGTTTGGGACCCAAAATATGACATTATTAGATTGGCCAAGCTATAGCCCTGACCTAAATTCAATAGAAAAT